GCGAGATTAGATCGCTTGCCAACCAAGATTTCTGCTTTGATGGCCATCAGTCGCATCTTTTGCAAAGCAAGATCTCTGATTGCCGTCTGTCAGATTAGATCCCGCAAGGTGAGGATTATGCAGAGAAGAGAACAATTTGCAATCCAGCAGGGTGAGTAAAGCTGATCGAGACTTCAAGCCTATTCCGCCACAACTTGCTGCCAGCCTGCCAGCCCTCTCTCGTTCTTACTCTTAGTCTTGCCCGTGGCCATACAGAGAATTGAATCGTATACCGTTGACAAGTTATTGGGGCCTGTCCGGCTGGAACTCCGACCTTCGAATCCCTTTCCAACAGCCCCCACATCCAGTAGCGAACATTCTGCCAGGGCCAGGGGATAGATCTTGCCTCGGGGCAAAGCCGGGAAAGCAGAGCTTTGGAAGCATAGAGGTTGCTCTCAAACTCAGTCAGTAGTCAAGATTACAAGTGCTGCCTAAGACAGAGTGTGCACCGTCACTAAATGCAACAGCCGCTACTTTGGTCTGGTCTGGTATGTCATTGGCCGAGCCTGAGGGAATTTAGCAACCGCGGCCGTGATGTGTAGCAACCGCTGCCGTGATTTGTAGCAACCGCTGCCGTGATTTGCAGCAACCGCTGCCGTGATTTGTAGCAACCGCATATAGCAACCACTGCCGTGATTTGTAAAAACCGTTGCCGTGATTTGCAGCAACCGCTGCCGTGATTTGTATGCCGTGATTTGTAAGAGCCGTTGCCGTGATTTGTAGCAACCGCTGCCGTGATTTGTAGCATTATATACTACCATCTAGTACATATCGTACATATATAACACACACAATAAATAGATAAACACATATATATATATATATATATACACACTATATATATATATATATAGGAATTCGGAATATGTACATACATACAGAGCATGTAGTAAGTATGTACTATATACCCGGTCATCATGCTTTTCGGGCTCTATGTAGCGATCCTCGTTCTGGTTTACCGTAACTTCTGTACCTGCCACATGAGCTGGCGGTCCAGGCGTCGGGAAGTCTTCGAGTGCGAAGTGATGTTCAGACGCCGAAGCGTAGAGGTTCCCAGCTGCATCGGGATCCCGAGCAATGGCAGCGAAGCTCCGTACTCTAAGTCGATCCGTAGTCCGTGCCCTTCATACAGTTGAAGGTCGTGGTTCAAGTCCGGTGCTTTGCAAGAGGCTCAAGCTACCAGTATCCGGCAGAGGCCTAACGAGTTTAGGCTCGATGCCGGTCATCGCTTTGTTGGCTGATGCGTCCTCAGCCAACGGCAAAGCACTCCTGGAACTGCTCCCACAAATCTCTGAGTACCTCAGACTGCATGGCCCCAGACGATCCCGGAACTAACAGTGATCTTGTGGTAAGGCCTGAAGGAGGAGTTTCAAGGCTGTCCCTTGTTGCCCGTACATGTTAATGCTATTTGGATCCTGAATGAGCTGCTAGCCAAGGAAGTCCACCTGCCTCGTTGGCAACTCCGTGTCGGACTTCAAGGACCTGAAAAATCTACCGGATGTCGATGTTGTTGTGGTGGCGGTGTTTGCGGCAGGACCCGGAACCATTCTTCAGCCATGACATCCAAAGACCCATACTAGCACCACTAAAGAGCACAACTGCTGCCGACCACAAGTTTCTTCACTGAACTGTGTCAGGAAATCCTGCAGTCATTGCTGATTTGTGGCCGCATATGACACGATTGAAGTGGATCCATAGCCTGGCTGCGGGAGTAGACACGCTGGTGCCGGTGCTCAACTCCCTGCCAGGGGCTTCGGAGATCCCGTTGACCAATGCCAAGGGAGCTTTCTCGAGATCCCTGGCCGAATACTCCCTAGCAGCGATGCTGCACTTCAACAAGCAGATCCCGAGATTACAGAAAAATCGCACGACAAAGACTTGGGACAAGTTCATCATGAACGAACTCCACGGTCAAACCGTGGGCTTCATTGGTTTCGGCGATATTGCACAGAGCACGGCCCGCCTGTGCAAGGCCTTTGGCATGCGGATCCTTGCGTGGCGGAATACCCGGGGAGCCTCGGGCGAGGAATTGGCCGACGAAGTCTTCTATTCCAGCGACGGAGCTGGGGCGAAACAGGTGGGACCGTCTACAGTAGGTGTGGGATCATACGTGTTACGTGTTGACTTGATGCTCTATCAAAGATTTCAATGATTTCAAGAGGCAGTAGTACAGTCGGCTGTCTCGGATATTGCAGGAAGTCTTCAAGCAGTCAGATTATGTGATTTGCTCACTGCCTGGCGGTGCTGCAACTTACCACTGCTGTGGCGAATCTTGGTTCTTTATGGAAAGGGACTGTATTCCGTGATCGATGTCTTATTCGCAGCGTGTTTCTCAAAGCTTGCAGCAGCCTCGATGCTAAGGCAGATGAGTTCAAGGCAAGGCTTTCTTGACCAATTCACCAAATGCCAATCAGGGTTGCTAAGACAAGACAAGAGGCTGCTCTTGCCCTGGTATGTACTAGCCCTGAATGCGAAGAGAATGGGAGAGCGTGGGAAGGCCATGAAGCCCAGCTCTGTCTTCATCTCCATGGGTCGAGGCAAGGTGGACTGTCAACTGTCAACTCTGCCTCGTAAGGCGTGTCGCCGTGTCGGTCTCCAGGTTCATGCGTAGATGAAAGTGCCCTGGTTCCAGCGTCCACGCCTCAGCAGAGGACGACGCGTTCCCAGGCGCCGTTTCTGTGTTTTCGGGTAGGCTACCGACTCTCACGACATCGTCGTATCTCGTGCTGCCTTTGCCATAGGATTCGGAACTGGACGAGTAGGCCGTTCAGCAAGCCACCACACAGGGGAGACAGAGGGATGGACCGAAGTGCTATATCCCCACAAAGCCCTATAGTAGTTAGGGGGCCCTGGTGGCTGGGGGATCTCGCATGTCATCCCCCATGCCCTGCTGAAGAAGAAAGAGGGAGAGAGAGGGAAACGCTATTCATGCATACATCACCCTCAAATCCGCAAGAGCCTGATGTCACCTCAGACTTGTAAGCATCTCAGGCTAGACTTGTCCCGTCTGAATGTTTCTCTGAGCTAGTATATTCCTAAAACCTGAACTGTTCCTCTGAATAACTCGGTCCAAAAGACTTGAAACAGGGAACTCTAATCTGAGGGGGACATATGTTGTATGAGAGCATGTCGCCCAGAATTCGTTATCGTAGCATAAATGGCTTTAGCCTACGGAGGACTTTACACTCGTTTTTCACTCCCTGCATGTAGTGGGTGGGCTTTGAAGCCCGGGGACGTTGACCCAGGGTCAGGCAAGTTGGCTCGTAAAAACAAAACCGGGGCACACCACTGAGGAGGCACCCGCCGTAGCCTTACTCCCAGCTAAACAGTCTTCCTTGAACCTTCTTGATTGGTGACAAAGTCGGCGGGCCTCAACGCCACAAGAGGCACACGCCTTCAACAAGGAGGCACACGTTCCTGTAAAGACCGAGCCCATTCATTCAAAAGCATGGATGGGGCGCATCGCACCCGCGCGGGACGGGAGGACTGCTTCCGCCCCAAGCCCCAAGCAAAGCAAAGAGGGAGAGAGGGAGAGAGCGGGTTTTTTCACCACTGTGACAGCAGTTGTTGAATATGCCGACAACCTGCTGGAATCGGGGGGAGCAGGAAGTTCATTCTTAGCTCTTAGCTCTGGAAGTATTCGGTTTGCTGCGGTTGCGTTGTTGCAATGAATGCCCTGTACTCCCATACTTGCAGTGTAGGATCAAGACGATGCCTACAGATGATGTCCACCCTGCTGATGTAACTTCTCTAGTGTGTCTACCATGCATGCTTTGTTGTTTCTGAATCGGCGGGAGGGGGACAAACTTTCTGTTTGCGTACTCGTACAGCTGAGCCCTCCTGTGGAAACAATCCCAGGGGGGAGACGATCCCGCCACGAGCTGCGGGTGTGCGGACCGCACGGGGGAAGGGCCGGGACGCTGCCCTTCCCTCCCACCCGGAAGAGAGAGAGAGAGAGGGAGAGAGCGATCGAGGCAGCGAAGCGATTGCCCCTGCCGTTAACGCTTGCTCGTTCAGTAGAATGCTCAGGTTGACAAGCGGCCAGATTGCAGGGGCGGCTCTTGATGTTTTCGAGAAGGACAGGCTGCAAGTGCCTTGCCATGAAGCCGAACGTGCCGTTCGCGTCAGGAGCCGCTGCCTGAGGACTCTCCAGTGTGGAACTGCGAAAACTTGCTGCGCGGCTGCAGCCCGCGTAGTTCCATCAAATGCAAAGACTACACAAGATAACCCACTGAATCCTGAATGTTTGACTTCGTGATTCAGTCTCACCATGCTCCTGCATGCTGAAGCTTGCAGCACAGTGGTTCTTGCTAATGATCTCTGCTAGGCCAAGCGTGTTCATTCACAGCGAAGACAGATATAGATCATTGGCATGCGTGCATGCATGCATAGGCACATGCTTGCGCACATGGAGACTATATACACTGTATGTATACATATATGTACACACATATATATATATATATATATGTATATACATCCTTATATTTATACACACACTATAAAATTGTGAGTGTGTGTGTATGCAACATTTTTCCGTTTTGTGTCTACATTGTTACATGCTCAGGTTGCTGAGCCCGCACAATGCCGACCTTACGAGTCAGCATCGCGGCAGCAAGACCTGCACACATAAACTGTCGTTCCGGGTTGGGGGTCCAGGATTTAAGGTGCCGAGGGGTTGCCTTCCTATGCTGTGGTCTCGAGGTACATGGAGCTGACCTGGAACCTGTTCCGGCATCGATTGGATGAATTCACTTCCGAGGGCTTTTCTGGTTTCCAGAACGTGGTTGACAAGACGAAGGGCTACTGAGCAGATTTCACAGTGACTTCAACGTCCTGCATCTCCTCACTTCCGAGCGTCCTGGGTCCCGGGCACACAGCGACGGCGACCTCGAGTCAGCGTAGGAGCGTAGGATGTCAGGAGCGGCAACCTCTGCTCGTGCCGATGTCCGACGTGCGGAATGAAGGGCACGCCAACACGGGAAGAAATCACAAAAAGGGTTTGCCTCTTCCAAGATAACTGAGGGAAGTTGGCGCAGTAACTATCGGCAGTTGAAAGTTGGTTTAGCGATGCGCAGCAGGCGCACGGTGGTTGTACCAGGCTCCCTGTGCAGAGCGCAGAAACATTGGTGGGGAATTCTGCGATTCCTGGTTCACTGTCTCAATGTCCCCATGCGGCAGCTAGTTTGTTTGTGGTAACGTAGTCAACGTAGACATGACTCGGTAATGCAGGGACCTTCAGCTGGTACAAGATACTGAGAGAACAAGGGAGCTATGTGACGTTAATTTTGGCTGTCAGTGCAAGCGTCAAGCCAAACAAACAAGTCTTACCAGAGCAGAGGGCTGCGTGTTGGCTTCCCGCCATGGGAAACCTCCTGTCAGAATGCAAGAGGCGCAAGAGCGACTTAGTGTCAAGCTATGCCAGCGATGCGTTGAGTCTGGGAGGGGGAGCTTGCGTGAGCATTGGCTGGAAAGACTCTACTTTGCACAGCTCGCAGGTGCACGCCTTTGGTTGATCAGTGTGATCTTTGTTGTCCTGATGTGCCGGCGGCTTAGCATGCTCCGGCTATGTTGATCAGGCATGTGTGCAGGAAGGCTCATGTACCTGTCTGCGAGGCACCCCATAGTTTCGTACGCAGAATCCGGATATGTTGTACAGAGAGACATGCAGGGTATGCGAGTGGGCTGGATACCCGCATTCGCAGGGTGTGGCGGGTTTGAGCAGCTCTGAGCTAGAGGCCCCACCAAGCGATTGACAATGTGTGTGGTCACCGAAATCGCCTGGGAACAGATTTACGGCCAATCACCAGTCTAGTCTGGTCTTCCAATTCAAGAACCAAGCATGACCACGAGAACGTGGTGATACAGGTACCAAGGTATCTGCGCACTCCTTGGAAGTACAGGAAGAGCAAGGCGTTAAGCTGTGTTCCTGCGCTGATCACAGCAGGACCCGGGCTGACGATGGGGCGCTTGGTAGGCCTCTGGGAACGTCACAGTGTAGCTACTGATTCCGGATGTCTCCGCAGCTGAGTCGGATTGCTTTTTGCAACGTTTGGCTCACAGCGACACTCAGTACCGGTGCAACTTCAGCCAACAGTGCTAAAATGGTGTGATTCATAAGCCTAAATAATTCTATGGTTTCTTGTAAATTCTCCTGCCGCGGGAAGGTTGGAGAGACATCCATGGTAGGTGGAGATATCTCAAGTCAAGCTGCCACACACATTCCACACCGAGCCCAGATCCAAGGTAGATCAAGGCAATACCTTCACCCAAGATCAGTCTTTCCTTAGTTTGACTTGTGAAAGCACGCGAACCCTAATTCAATCGACATTGCTCCTCCGCCACGGCCTGAGCCAGTCGACGGACAGCAGAATACACCGGAATGCAAAGGGCAACCTGATCGTGGCCCTCCGCTGGCCTCAGGTCTCTGGTCGCCTGCGACGTGACGCAGGATGCAGCAGGTTTCAAAATGCTTCCTCGCGGTGGATAGGGATGTGAAGTGCTCGGCTCTGGTCAGGGCGGGAAGAAGGGCCGAGGCCCCAAGGCACGCGACGCCTTCTCCAATTCTCAAGCTGGAGCTGCAACGGTCCTTTCAACGCCAGGCAGGTGCTCGCGCTCAGCCTGATGCTAACAAAGAGAGAGCCTTGACGCCACCTCTCCATACATTTCTCTGAACTGCCCGGCTGCTTGAGTCGGGCCAGAACCTCTCTGGTAAGGAATGCTGTACTTCCTCGCCTGCCACGACCTCAGCTTTAGGGTCTTTAGGGGAATCAAGCAAGCTTGTTTGTTGTTCGGATCCGACCCGCTCTGGAAGATGTTCATGTGCAGAGGTTTGGTCGGGCAGACGGTCACCGTTAAGCTGAAGAACCAGCGGCTCGGCGGCTTGTAGTTTCAAAGAGAGCTGTCCCGGACCGTTTCACGGCTGGGGCCTTGGCACGCCTCGGTGCCAGGACGATTTACGAGGGAGTCTTCCACAGCTGCTCCACAGAAGGCTGCAAAGCTGGGTCTGAATTTGTGCTGGCTTCACGTGCCGCTGACATATCTAATGTGCTCAGGTGATCTATCGATCACCTTGAAATCAGCCCGAAAAGTTCCCACTGGAAATGGGAAGAGTGGCGAGGCAGGGCTTCTAGTCTCCACTCAAACAATCGGGCCGAAGTAGAAGCGATGTCTCAATTTGGCAGGTGAAGGATGAACTGGTTGTTGCAGGAAAGGAGTTCCTGCAGGCCTGCTCAGGCCTGAACGCGGCTTCTGGTCCTTTTCTTTGGTGCTAAGGTTTCTGCGGTCAACGTGCCCCCGGAGCCAAAGCCGCAGCCCCGTCATCTGGGTAGTTGTCAAAATTAAGGTCTCTTTTTGGGTTCCCTAAATAATAGGTGCGGTTTTGTATATTGGGGACCCCCAAAGGGACCATAATTTTGACAACCACCCATGTTGTAGGGGAAGAAGGGCTTCAGATGTTGACCCGACAAGGCAGCACAGCGCCTTCAAGACTGATGGTGAAATAGCAGCGAGCTTGGATTGTTGTTGTTATTGTTACCATGGTTGTTTTGATTACTGCTACGACTGTTGTTTCTATTTTTTGATTCTCTTTCATTATTGTTGTTGTCATTCTTGCTGTTGTTATTGTTGGGATCTTGCTGGAGGTGTCAAGTGGGTCTAAGTCTAATTGGGTGGTGTCATCTGTTGCTCAGGCTGAAGGCTGGGGCGAGGGCCGCAACCGGGAACTGGTTGCCTGGAAAAGCGGCGGAGAGGCAGGGCATGCTGGGAGCGTGGACTTCTCATCATCTCCGGCTTGCGTTGCACCTGATTGTTATGACGATCATAGATTATGAACCGTTGTTATTACTGCTAGTGTAATTGCTGTTATGATATAGTATCCAGTATCTTCTGTTATTGGCATTATTGTTGGTATCATTGTAGGGATCTCTGAGATTCATGAACTTCCTGCAAGGCGAGTGCCCCTGCCGGTGTTTCCCTCAACCTGGAATCCGGCGGCCGCCAAATCGGCGCACGGCACTTAGCCGGTTTAGGGTTTAGGGTTCTTGAAGCCTTAAGCTGCGAATTGATAGAAGACGGTGTGAGCATTCTTGTCCGTAGATGAACACAGTGGGTGCCAGTTTTGCAAACCGTTCCTACCCGACAGACCTGGAACCAGTTCGAGTATAACGAGAAGCAGTTCGGTATCACTAGCACCTACTCTGAGGACCTGCGCATGCAGACTTGGGGCTGATGTGATGGTGTGTATTCAGCATGGCGGCACAGGACCTATACACGACGAAGCTGGATCCCAGCAAAATCCCAGAGCAGAAGCGAAAAGATGTATGGGCCTCAGACCACTTCTGCCAGTAGAACAGGCCACCGGACATTTCCAAGATCTGTTGGCATGTGGACATGCGCAGTCTCACAAGACCTGAGTGAATCCTACGCTACACCTGGTCTTCCGGCCCTATGCCCTACCTCAAGCCGGAATAACCTACCGTTTTAAGGACTTATATATAAGGAAATCATCATAAGGAACCCTAAAGGGCAGGTTATTCAGGGTTAAGGTGAACCCTAAACCCTACAGAGAAGCTGGTCTTCAGGCCGAACGCATCGCCCGAGAAATTGAAAGCGGGCAGATACTTGGCCGAATCTTACTCGCCGCCTGGGAGTGGCTCTCTCTCTCTCTCTCTGTCTGTCTGTGTGTGTGTGTGTGTGTGTGTGAGACAAAGAGACAAACGAGAGCCAGCGCATAATCTACAATAATCCCCAGCAGAGCACAACCAGGCCCTAGTGGTAGCAGATCAGCCGAGGAGCTACGGCAGGATAGAAGAAGGTGTCAATGACGTGTGGACCTCGGTGTGCCTGTGCTACAGCTGCACAGCTGCTACAGTATCTCGTGATGCAGTGTGCCAATGCAATCATATGGGGTCCCGTGCACTTGGAGATTCTCCGAAGTCCCTGAGCATCAGGACGTCGACGAGGAAGCGCAGTTTAGCGCCGTCGGCTCGCAAGCTCGGGTGGCCTGCTGCACTTAGTCTTGCAATGCGGAGATTTGGAGACATGCTCTGCGCATGATTCTGCTCAACCCGATTGCAGAGCCATTAGGCACCAACAGACCTTGTTGTTGAGCTGAGGAGCCAGTGCACGCTCCACTGACGTTGGACGGGGGTTGTCAAATTGGGTAGCTGCCGTAAACGCTTGTGCTTCTTATCGTCAGCTTGATTCCTTCGCAAGTGAACTCTTCGTTCAACTGCGACGTGTTTTCATTTTGGCGCAGGAGAACGTGTCGCAGCATGATGCTGCATCTGCAGCTGAACTCCATGCTGCGGATGCTGCCTGTCTCATTTTATAATGGACTTACTTACGCGCGCATGTTGCAGACATGAGAACCGACTGCCTGACATCCTTAGGGTTTCGCCCGAGAGCACAGGGCCAAGCGCTACATGATCACAGCGCACTCGTAGGGCGCTCAGCGGTTTTAAGCAGTGCCATGCCGAGTCGGATTTGTGCTGAGAGATTGAGGCGTGCCCCGCAGCTCTCCGAGATGAAAAGCATCAATGCCTTAAATCTCGAGCTGCGGCCTCAGCCCTCTCGTGAGCTGAGCCATGCACAGTCGACGGATATTCAACTGGCACAGCTGGGAACTGCAAAGGCCTGCCTTGCCCAAGTTCGATGACAAGACTCGATCGGATTGGATCAATTTCAAGCAGTCACAGTCGCGAACGCGACAGGTGCGAGAATTAGAATCAGAATTCGTGCCTTCGTACATCACAGCCTCTGCAAGGGGCAGCCACCTGCTGGAATCAAGGATGAGCTTCAGCAATCCTTGCAGGTCAGTGGCTCTTAAGCGGACAAGCCTTTCATGCGATCCGGTCCCTACGCCCTAATGTGCGCACGCTTCTTCCGAGGCCATCCAGCAAAAGGAGGCCACCCAGAAGCCGAAGCCCAAGACACGTTCACAAAAGCTCGGAAAGGCTCCCCAGCGCCAGATTGTGTTCACGGTGCTAATTGGTTCACCTCAGGTCTGCTGCCACACCAGGCCAAGCCTGCATCGCAACCATGGCCGACATGTTCCTGATTTGATGAGTTCTATCCGTCTGACTTGGACGCCCTCGGCCCTTGCACCTGCAATCAGCTCTTCAGCCTGACGATTTCCTGTAATATGACATCAGTCCGACTGCTGACACCAGGGTTGTCTGCAATGATCTGCTGGTCCGCTGTGGTCGAAACGGGTAGCGGTAGCGTTGTGGTGCTGGTGCTGGAGTGCTGGTGCTGGAGGTGGTGTTGGTGGTTGCGGCAGCAGCAGCATCAGCACCGGCATCAGCATCCTCCGCATAGTCAGCAACATCATGATGATGATCATCCTCAGCAGCATCATCATCATCAACATCATCACCACCACCATAATCATCAATATCATCCTCGCCATCATGTCCTGATCGTCTTCGACATGAGAGCAGCAGGAAGCCGGGGAACAATAGCAACAGCATTTTCATCACGGTGATTGATGATTCCCATACTTGGGAAGGTGCCAGCGGCTCCGGAAATGCCGAAGCAAGAGGACACCATCGTCCTGGGGTTTCCGTGAATTACTGGGGCCCTCGGTTTACGGCATGGGATCTGAGGCGCTTGGGCTTTGAAGGTCAGGCAAGCTCGGATTTATCATGTTGCAATCCTCTGGCATTTCATTGTACTGGGGGCGTGCCAAGCTTCTTCGGTGCTGCGACGCATCATCAGGATTTCAGATGGATGCCTCTGTGCAGTGCCCAGCATGTCGTGAGAACTGGAGCATGAGCTCATGATCGCGAGTTAGAGATTGCGCCGTGCCTTGAGGCTGCGGCACATGAGCCCGAGCAGGCAAGAAATGGCTAGAAGTTCCGTGATCAACAGAGAGGGCTGATTTTTCCAGTGTTCCTGCACAGGCACAAGAAGAGTGTGGACCCCAGGGCTGGCTTTGCGTGGCCAGCCCCGTCGGGCTTCGGAAGCTCTGCCCCG